TATGCTGATTACAAATTTGGTATCCAATCAAAGATTTATCAATATATTTTATCTTTAGCGGTTTTTTCGCTTTGAACTGCTGGAAATTCGTGAACAGTTTGTTAACAGGCTCATTATGAGTATGATTGTCACTCGAGACCATATCTACTATTTTCGTGGTTTTTTGGTTGTGTGCTAATAATGCGAAGATGTGCTAACTTGCTGAACAGTACGAAGTTATTATTTTCAGCCTAGGTTTGCTAAGAGAGAATTTTTATGCTGGAATCTTAGAAACTAAACTGTGCTTCTTTCAGCAAAGGAAATTAATTTGAAACAGAGAACTATTGACCACTCTGAAACAGCCGGGCCTAGCCGGGTATGCAAGCATGTCTCTTAAAGGCATGATAGATTCTGCGACGTGAGGGTACCCCGATCCTTCAACACATAAACCTTGGGTAGGAGGATGCCCAGGCGTAAAAGGAATGGCAAACCTATGGAGAAAAAGGGAAACGCAGGCAGTGAGAATGACGTCATGTCCACCGTCTTGTAAATGAAAAGGCTAAGAAATCTGGCTTGAAAATTTTTTCCATGATTTGAAAATGCTCCGCTTAGCCTTCATCAATTTCATCACTGGATGATGTCGAGAGCTGCGGATCCAATATCAACAGGTGGTGGGGGATGAACATAATGAATGCAAGCAAAAGGTGATCTTTAGAATTATCTGCTAGCGAAACCCTCTGCAAAAAAGTGCTAAAGAAAGCAGAAAAGGAATACCTAGGAAAACTTTGCAAGATGAATTTTGTAAAGGAGAAAGAACTACCGAACCGCCAGAAGAGGGCAGAGTCTGCAAAAGATATGGAGCAAATCTGCCGTACCAAAACCAAGCTTAGGATGACATTAAAGAGACTGCAGGAGATAATCATACTTTGCGAACATGCCGCTATATCAACAGTGGAATCAGCCGGCCTTGTGTTCGGACCAGTTCCACTCACTGCAGACGAGAACATATGGCTTGCTACAGCAAAGAACTACCCTTCAAATGACATCCTAAGCGACTTCTAGATAGGAACGGGCAGCGGTGCGTTTTGCTCGCAGGCCTCTTCAGAATGATATTTTGGGACTGGGTCAAAAGCACATGTTTCTAGATGGAAGAATAAATAAATCGCAGATATAACAACACACGACCGATCGGGTTGTTAAACTGCTGAAGATTTTCCCAAGTACTTGCGACGCGACTTGAGCGATCGTGGAGTTGTCATCCGCTCATTACGGATTCGTAAAGGGTACCGGTCTGCAGGCACCATTCATACCTAAGAATAGTCATAGAGATATGGGTAAGACGGAAAAATTACATGCGATTTTTCTAGATATAAAGAAAGCTTTCGACAAGGTAACCATAATGTCACATTGAGGGCAGTGCGAAGACATTGTAGAAAAATACATTCGAGAAATGAGGATAACCTATTACGGGGCCATGAGCAAGCGACAACTGCGATGGAACAGTCAAAGTCATCACGCATAAAGAGTGGCGTGCATCAGAGAGTACCAACAGGAGTTATACGGCTTGAATATCAACACCTTGAAGACAGAATATATGGAGGTGGTAAATGAAACTCGACCATACACATTTATGGAGCCATTCAAAAGGTGAGTTTCCTAAAGTATGAAGACATACTGAAGGAGTATGTCGGCCAAGGTAACTGCAGCTCGGACAAAATGGAGAACTTTTAGAGCCTCTTCGATAATAGGCTCCTTGAAAGTTCATTTTGTTTCAGTGCAACTTCAACCTCTTATACCGTAATCCAAATTGCCCAACAACACTTTGTAGTGAATATGACCAAATCGCGAAGAGAGGAACACAAGCTTAGCGGCTTGGAGATAATTGGTGCTGTGCATATTAGGTATCATCGTTCATCATGTTTGCGATGATGCAGTTCAAGCAGGGATAGAAGTTTGCTGCCAAGGTGATGAGAAGGTGAGGATATGCTAGTCGAAGAGAAGAAACATATATCAGTAATGGCAACGTCGTTGGAAATTCAAGACAACAAAGAAGGCGAAAAATGTGAGGTATGGGCAATTTCAGATCGACATGAAAAAAAAACTTAAGATATGCGCATCTTACTTAGAACTGAAGAGTCTGGAGACATCGACCAGTGCAGCAGACGCTCAGCGGGCAAAAAAAAAACAAGAAAAAATGCAATGTTCACGCCAGGAGGTCGAGATAAGTAATTAGTGAGTGAGTTGACAACCTATGTGAGTTTCTTTAGTTGACAATTTTGTGGTTAAGACAACCGGCTAGTCCACGCTGTATATTGTCGCTGCAGCACATGCTACGCTGGCTTCGACAGCACTAACCTCTCTTAACATGAAGAGACTCCACAAAAAAATTGAATAACTTTAGAGAAATTATATGTGAGAAGTTTGCATTGGCGGGAAATCATGGTTGGATTTCGCGCAAGGAGAAAATGACATGGATAGCGAACTTTTTTAGAGTGATGCCATGACGGCCGTTCTCGCTTCACACAAATCCCGATGACCGAAGCCGATGTAATTCACTCATACATACATGAACCGCTTCCGCTTTGCTGGACTATCCTCACGCCCTGCTGCCGGTGGATCTCTCACTGCGTTTACGCATTACCCTTTCTTTTAAATTTGGCTTTTTCTTCAATGGAGTCACATCCTCCAAAGAGTAATTGTACAGACCTTTGTTTCCGCTTCACACGTGCTCTGCCATCACTGGTCTACCGTAGCTAAACGGCAGCATTAACTTTTGCACTTAATAGAAGTGTTTTGATCACTTCGAAAATGGTATCTCAATAGACCTCCGTTTTTTCTAAAACTCACCGACAACTCGGTGTTGGAATTCAACATCAGTGTGGTAGAGTTGACATATAGTTAGCCAGGCAATAAATGCGTGGGGGAACTTCAAAAATTCATTCTTCGAGTTGAGACACCGCCTTT